ACCTCAACTTATAAGAACAACAACTAAAAGAACTCGTGGACCAAATAAGCAACCACATAAGAAAAAAGCTATAAAATTGACTAATCCTGGTATTATTTCTCAAGAAATTTTCACTCATCCTACGAGACTACCTATTCATGATAATATATCCATGCATAATGTATTTTCAATTCCTATAAAAAACAATCTTAGAATTGGAAGGAATAAGAACAAGTTGAGTAAAGAATTATCTATTCTGTATTGTGCTATAGATGATATTTGGGACATACCATCTATTATGGTAGATGAATCATTTACATATATGATTATAGAAGCCCTTTCTTGCAAGGAAGACGATCCTAAATCTCAAACCATCGAAGAGGTGATGTATTGCTCTAATTGGTCAAAATAGAAAACTACTATTGAGGAGGAGTATGCCTCTTTGCGTAAGAGGAAAGTCTTTGGCCCAATTGTAGACACTCTTACATCTTGCCCTGTGGAATATAATATGGTATTCGTATGCAAGTGAGATGCTCAAGGTCGAATAACCCTCTATAAAGCTCGTTTTGTTGCTCAAGGATTTACTCAACGATTTGGCATTGATTATGAATCCACATATTCTCTAGTCATGGATTCAATTATATTTCGATATATTATTGGAATGACAATTCATGCTACCGTGAAAATACATCTGATGGATGTAGTAACTGCATATCTATATGGTTCTCTTGATGCAAATATTTATATGAAAGTTTCACCTAGCTTAGAAATAGGATCTCCAAATCGACCCGCTCGAGGATAATATCATGGTATTAAATTATGTAAGGCCTTGTATGGTTTAAAACAATCTGGACGCATGTGGTATCAACGTCTTTGAGATTATTTAATTACAAATAATTTTATAAGTGATCCACTAATCCCTTGTTTATTTATCAAACGAGATAAAACTGGTTTTGTGATCATCGCTGTATATGTTGATGATCTTAACTTAGTGGGTACTACATCTACATGTATTACAGCTACTAACCTATTTATACGTGAATTTGAGATGATAATGTTAGAAAAAATAACTTTTTGTATTAGTTTTCAAATTATGCATCTAATAGATGGTAGCATTTTTCTCTACCAACTAACATATATTAGACAAATCTTGCAAAGATTTAATATGATTGATGCTTATCCATTGTCCACACCAATGGTTGGACGTGGTTGTAATGGTCATGATCCATATCGTCCATGCGAGGAAGAGGAGGAAATATTGGGAGATCAATATCCATACCTCGTAGTAGTTGGAGCACTTTTATATTTAACTACATCTACAAGACCATATATTGCATTTGCAATTAGTGTTCTTGCAAGACATAGTGTATGTCCAATACTACGACATTGGAATGGCATCAAATATTTATTATGTTATTTAAAAGGTACTAAAGACTTAGGATTATACTACACACAATCCATAGATCCAAAATTAGTTGAATATTGTGATGCAAGATATAAATTTGATACTGCAACAACTAAATCTCAAATAGGATATGTATTTTTAAGACATGGAGCTGCAATATCATGGAAATCAGTGAAACAAACAATAACTACAACTTATCCAACCATGCAAAAGTTATTGCCTTACATAAAGTATCTCAAGAATGTATTTGGTTGCGATCAATTGACAAATTCATTCAAACAACCTATGGATTTTCATATGATGATTCTCTAATTATCTTACATGAAGATAATAGTGCTTGTATTGCATAGATGCAAGTTGGTTTCATTAAAGGTGATAAGACAAAGCATATTGATCCAAAGTATTTTAGTTATATCCATGACTTGATTACTGATCAAGCACTTATAATTAAGAAAATTAAATCTACAAATAACCTTGCTGATCTCTTTACCAAAGCTCTCCCATTAAGCAACCATCGTCGACTTACTTATGGCATTGTTATGCGACGACTTACTTTTCTTGAATAAAAAAGTTAATGAGATTTTTAAATAATTAAATAAAATGATGTTGTACTCTTTTTCCTTCATCTATGGTTTTGTCCTTAAATAAAATAAGATTTTCTTAGATAAGGTTTTAATGAGGCAACAATTGTTGATCTTGCAAGATTACAGAAAAGTATAGATTATAATTCTATACAAATTTTATATTATGTAAATATTATGATGAGTGAAGAGGAGTGTTGAGATCATTAAATAAAGTCGGCGCTCTCCATAATATTTATTGTAGATTACAATAAATATTATAGCTATAGTATTTAGAGTCTAGTGGAGAAGTACTGTTTATCCTCTCCTCTTTTCTCTTCTTGTATATGAGACACAACTAGGTCAATAGATTTTTATGTGTAAAGCTCTCTCTCCTTAGAAACCCTCTTGTGTGTATGACTTACTACTACTCTTGTGTGTGTGTATGACTTACTACTACTCTTGTGTGTGTGTATGACTTACCATTACTCTTGTGTATTTCTAAACATCCTCAATAGATACAAAGCTTTGATGGTGGCCCTTCTTTTTGTTTTGTTTATTAAAATAAGTGATTTTATAGATTCTTTGGATCATGACTTCTTTCTATCTTAAAGAGGGATTGTGATTCTTTTTTAAGTCACTTCACATATTTTTATAGTTGCTATTCTTGTACCAAGTTTTTAAATATTTATTTTCATTACTATTATTTAATGATTTTAGGTGAAATTTGGCAAAAATCAATCCTAAAAATTTTAAATGTTATAGTATTTCAAAATATAATAGATGTTTCTTTAATGAAAAATCATGAAATGTATATATATATATATATATATATATAATAATAATAACACAATCATTCTTATCCAATAAACATATACCTAAAAAGTACACAAACATGCAAGAAAAAATATTTTTTTTTACAAATTAAATATTATATAATTTATTACTAAATATAATTAAATAATCCAATTATTTTAAATATTTTAATAATTATTTCTATATATTTGATGTTTTAACTTCTCTACATTTGATATATGTATTTAAAATATTACATATATCAAATATATATATATATATATATATATATATATATATATTAGTTTATTTTTTCTTTAGAATGTATGTTTTTTCTTAAAATTTTGATTGTACTCAATTTATATATATATATATATATATATAAAATAAAAGTAAAATATTTTATTTTAATTAAACTTACTCTTTAGTTGTTTATTAGTTCTACCCTTATTCTAGTACTATAATTGAGCTTATAAATTGCTATGTAAATAGACTTAGCTCAATTATATATATATATATATATATATATATATATATATATAAAATAAAAGTAAAATATTTTATTTTAATTAAACTTACTCTTTAGTTTTTTATTAGTTCTACCCTTATTCTAGTACTATAATTGAGCTTATAAATTGCTATGTAAATAGACTTAGCTCAATTATATATATATATATATATTTTTAAAATCATACTAAACTAGAATAATTAATTTTAAAAAATAAAATTTAATCATTTAATCTTGTCGTATTATAAACTATGTATGTATATTTTTAGATTCTATATTTCTGCAATTTTAATAATATCTTCAAAACAATCCAAAAAAAAAATAATATCAAAGTTTTTGTCAATTCTTATTTTTTATTTTATTTTAATATATTTCTTCTTTTCAGTGAAAGATTCATTTAGGATCACACACAAGTTTAAAGTACTTGCACAAATAATTTAAGTTCAAATAACAACAATAATTATTTTACAAGGATCATCTATAAAACTTTTTTTTTAAAACAAAGATTATAGCAGATTCAGCATTTTAAGTCCTAAATAAATCTTATCAAATTCCTCTATATAATAGACCTCAATGCAATATATCCATAAAAATTTCTTATTTCATCTATATTTTATATACGTATAATCTATTCCTTATTTAAAATCTTAATTTAGATCTTGTATTGTTTTTATACTTTTTAAATAAAATAAACTAAAAAACAAACTCAAAATCCAAAAATAAATAAATCTTTAAACTCATATTGATTGTCTGTTAAATATTAAAACTACATTGTTTCTTTTGATTTGTTGTTGTTGTTGCTGTTGTTGTGTTTTTTTTTTTTTTTACTACTTTATTATTAAGTGAGTTGTATTTATGAATAAATTTAATTATATATGAACCAAAAATGATAAATATCTGAAACTTATGAGAAATTATTAAATTTTAATTAATACTAATATTAACTTGTAGTTTAACCTTCATGATTGTTTTTAATGAAATAACTAGTTAATTGAATTGTGTAAATTACTTGGCACTTTTTTAAAAATTATGCTAAATAGTTGTTAAATTTCATTATCATTATTTGAATTATTAGCATAGCACCTAAATTTGAGCTTAGCAAAGTTTATTGTCAAATCTAATTTGTATTTTTATGATAAGTATATAGCTTGGTATATTTATATAAGATGATTATTTGAATCAACTTCTTGATCCAAATTCAATCTCTTCCAATTCTTAGAGAACACCATTTAGTTGTAATGCAACACATAATAGAATCATGTTCAAGATAAGGTATTTGATCCTTCCTTCAAGTGGTGAGATATTCTCCTATCTTCTTTAAAATTAAAAAACGAACTTTCCAAAATATTTAGATAGCAATTTTTACATATATCTTCTGAAAATAAAAGAGATATATATATTTTTTATTTTATTTTTAGCTTTATTCCTTTTGTACAACACATTATTAACTTACATACTTTATATCACAAGTTTTTTTCTTTTTTCTATTTTAAACTTACAACACAATCAACAACATTGTTTCCAATTGCAAATAGTCAATTCTTAAATAGAAACAAACACTCCAAAATGTTCAATCAAGTGTATATCTATGGATAATTTACATTTCCAAAAAGCACAAAAAGACTTTCAAAGAACTTAATTGGACTTGCAAAAGAATCATCCATGGCAACATGATCCACACACTTATAATGTATGATAAGAATGTGTTGAATGTAAACCCACAAATAATGGCCAAAACACCCTAAACCACAACTACAAGCTAAATTATAAAATTTGATTACAAGTTTTGACTACCAACAGCACAATTATACACCAGGAGTAGGATCTTAGCAACATGGGAACCCTAATTCTCCAAATCCCAACCTGGTTGTCCACCCTGAGCCAGATCCATGGCAGTCAGATTCTGCACCAGCTCACTCTGACTGTTTTTTTTTTTTTTTTTTTTTTTTCGATTGTCTGTTTTGTGGGTTTGCAGCTTTCCTTCGTTAACAGGCCAAGGCGATAACACCAACTTCTGCTCCTCAGGAAAATAATTTAAATAAATAAATAAACAAACAACAACAAAACAAAACTTAAATAAGCAAGGAATCAAAGCCACACAAGGATGAGGTGTGTGTGTGTGATGCAGGAATCGGTAGTGTGGTCTCCGACTAACTGAGAAGGCAAAAGGAAAGGGAGGAGACGTTGCTGATGGTGTGGACAAGCTCCTCTATATTGGCAGAATTGCAGAGCAGAGCAGAGCAAGCAAGCAAGGAGGGAGGAAGGGAAGGAAGGGAGGGGAGGGCAATCAAAGGAAGGAAAAAGACGAAGGATACGACGAGGCAGGGGTTTGTACCGGGCAAAAGGGAGAGAATGAGGGTAAAGCTGCCGCAGCAATGCCAGTCATGGGTGGTGATGGCGAGAGCGCATGATCGCCAAAAGCGCAGACGGGATTGGACAGATGACGCGCAGTTGGGCGAGCCCCAATCGGGCACAGCAACGATGGATGGCAAGCGACCTAACGGAACAACGAAAGAAACAAAGCAATGACAAAAAGCAACCCCCCCCCCTTTTAGAAGACCAAAAAGGCGATCCATAAAACTAAAAAGAGCTCAGGAATTGCGTCCCGCAAGGCGAGGGGATGGGTGGGGGGTGGGACGGGGGCAGAAGTAGAAGAAGATGCTGCCGCACAACATCAGGGGCAGCAAAAGCGAGAAGAAGGGAGAGGAGAGAGAGAGAGCGAGCGGGAGAGCAGGAGAGCGGGCGAGATAGAGCCAAGCGCGCAAATACCCATCCTCCCCGCGGCAGATATTATTCCCTGTTCCATTCGTGCTGATCGTATCATCCCCCTGCCAGGATTTCCCATCTGGAGGTCGCCGCGCTGCAGCGGTAGCGCGAGAGCTCGCCGATGGGCGGGCCTGATGTCGATGGAGAATTGCTTGCTTTGGGGATTCAGTCTCGAGGTTGTATGCACCGATTTAGTACACACGCAAGGGCTCTCTGACACGGCGTGAGAGTTTGTCATCATCATTATCGTCATCATATCAGGCACAAGTGCCTTTGCCTTCTTCTCCCAATCCTATTTCTGACCCTGAGATAGCAGTCAACACTCAACGGGTGTCTCTCTCTCTGCGTGTGGTTTTTTGGAGAAGGTGGGAAAGAAAGAAAGAGAGCGAGCGATAGAGTTGGGATTGCTACTGGGTGGAGTTAGTTTTTGTGGAGTAGGCATTGTTGGCGATGGGGGATGAGGACGTGAAGGCGAAGGATGAGCAAGTCCCAGGCTGCTCAAGGCTTCATGTTTTGTGTGCGTTGTCGGAGTTTGGCGACGGGGAGCTGGCGGAGCTCCGTGAGCTGCTAGATGCTGGGGCCGATCCCAACGCCTTGGACAGCTTCGAGCGCGCTCCGCTGTCGCTGCTGTGCATGAATACGGGTCATGTGGAAGCTGCGAAGGCACTGTTAGCGTCTGGGGCTCTACCCTCGTCTCAAGACACTTGGGGCAGGTACCATCGTTCGTGTAGTCTTGTGTCTTTGCATTAGACTGCTGGACTGCTGAATGGGGGAGGTTCAAGTTGGGTCCTCTATTTCAGCGACGAAATTCCGTCGTTTCGTCTTTGCCTTTTTGTTTCTGTAGTTTAGGTTTGTTCTCTCTTGTTCGGGAACGGCGTTTTTGCAGACTTGCAGTCTTCTTTCAACATCAATATGTGTACGATCAGGGATTCTTGGCTTGGATGCTAGGGTCAAGAGATTGGCGGGATGACTGTTTTGTGTGTCGTTTCTGATTTGGCGCCGGAGCAATGTTGTCCCATCTCTACCTGCAGTTTTCACTTAGATATGTACGTTTAGGATATACATCCGCGTAGGGAGCTGTTGCCCCCACTTTTCTGTTGCCGAATAATCGCCGGTGCCAAGTGCGCATCCATGCTTGAGAGCAAAACTTATCACGAGGACGATCACAACTACGCAAGTTTCAGGGAATCGTAGTTTGTCACGTCTGCCAGTGGTGACGAGTCGAGAGTGGTGAGGTGGATGGTGCTGAGCAAAGGTAGCACGGTTTGTCATTGGTGTGCAGACTGATCGATTAGGAAGCTGCTTCATCATCCTCTTGTTTGGGGTGGGCAGGACATCGCTGCACTGGTGTTGTGATCGGGGATGGTTGGCGATAGCTGAGCTTCTACTCGGGAGTGGAGCTTCGGTGAACGAATCCACAAAGGTAAGAAAACAACAATAGCTGAGGTCGGAAGGTGGTTGAGATTTGAATCGGCACCTCGTGTCTAAGGGTGGGTAGCACTCACTAGATGATGGGAAGGCAGTGGAAGTGGTAACCAGCGTTGGTTGTGGATTCGCAGCAAGGAGACACGCCATTGCTTTGGGCAGCTAAATCAGGACATGTCAAGTTGGTACAGTTGCTGTTACAATCTGGTACGTATATATATATATATATACACACACATTTATTGCATAGATGTTGCATATTTCTCCCAAGTATTTCGTCTATTTATTTGCAGTTTTCGGGTTCATGATGTCTGCACAGGTCTGCGAATCAACATCACACTTCCAGACCTTGATCTTTTTCCACTGAATTGTAATTAGCATTTATAATATGTGATAAAGGGGTGTTTGCTGCTGTATTGTACTCTAAGTTTGAATAAGCAAGAATTGTTCAACCTTAATGTGAGTTTGTCGTTGCGATGCTGATGAGTGGCAGGATGTGATCCACTCCTGCGCAACAATCGCGATGAGGCTCCTCTCGATGTGGCTACTGATGAAGTCGTGAGCACTTTGATATACTGTAAGTATTTATAATTTGTCTTAAATTATGCTTATTATTGGAAGTTCAAACACACACTGGTTGTTGCGTTGTGGAACCACTTCATATCGCAACGCAGGATCGATCCCAACGTGCTTCTTTGAATTGCAATGCTTTCCAAGACAATGTCATCTTTCGAACTGCTCCAGATGAGAATTTACTTAATTTTAATGCTGTTCGTAAAGATCTGTCTCGAATTGCGGCTGCCCACAGCAAATCATTAAGCAGCATCTGGTTGGCAATGTGGACAGCTGCAGTTTCTGAGAAGAAGTCTAGCATTAGAGTCACAGATTTTGCTCCTCCCCTTCAAAAAGCAGAAGACGCAGTGAGAGAGAAACCCACCAACTGGAAGGAGGAGAAAGCCCCAGCATCACCAGAACGCAACATTCCTAGAACGGTCAGCTCTGAATTAGGCAGCCGTGCATTGGCCGGGTTGCCAATGGGCGCGCAGACTGGAACCTCTGGTGGTCTGTTGTTCTCAGCTTACAAGAAGCAGCCAATGTCATCAATAGCTGGATCGGGTTCTGGGCCAGGACCCAAGAAAATGAAAATAACTCTGAAGAAGAAGTGATTTCTTGATGTCCCCTCGCACCGTGTGTGTAAGATGATCCCGTACTGTAACACTTGAACATTGGTAAACTGGTCATTTTTTCTGATATGATTGGAGGCTCTACAGTCTGGCCAATCTATCTCAGGCTTGACAAGCCAAATTGTTTGGACTGATATTTTTTCCACGAACCCAAGAATTTGGTCTGCTCTGGGCAGCAACCTGTTCATTGAGAATGAGGGAAGGAGATGACACTCAGTATGTAGAAGCAGCGAATCGATAAGGTAGAATGTGGATACATTGACGAGAGCCTTCTGGAGTGACGATTGCAGGGTATCGCTCCTTGCCGTCGTAAGGACCTAGATCTATCCTTGATTCGTGTACAATGTCAAAGTTTAGCAAGATGAATTCTTTTGGATGTTTGTAAACTGTCTCTAGTTTTCCAGCAGATTGTCAGCTATGGTGTCTATGTTTTGCTATGCATTGGGTGACTGGATGCAAAATATAACTCAGGGCTAGTTCACAATGGTAGTAAGGATTGCCAATTTAATTTTACTCGTGTGCAACTAGTGGAAGCGTCTATAACTGTGATGTTAAGCCCAGCGTTGTGACATATGCAGTGACGTGTGTACAGAACTTTGTGTTGTCCACAGTGCGAAATAGATTTAGATTGAGTATAAACTAATTGCAAACCCCCCGTACAACTCCCAGATACTTGCGGCGGTGGAGCTTTTGTAAATCAAGCTCCGAATATCAGAACAGTCAGATTCTTAACTGGGAACTCCTCATATAAAAACGTAACGAATTCGAACCTTGTTACGTTGAAATTCCAATTCCCTTACCGAGCAGACTTACACTGATATATCTGAGCGTGACCTGACCAGAAAACTTCGCTTACCATGACACGGCTTAAGTTTCACAGTCGTTTTGATTGTCAATTTTTCTTCAACAACTTGGACTCTATATGGACTTATTGTTTGCCGTCGGTGTGTAAAATTAGTATTCTTCGGGATTGGGGTCGCTGCATAACTGCAGAGGCTACTGTGATCAGTGGGAGATTTAGGACCTTGGATTCCTAATCCTACCGGTACCTTCATCGGTGTGGCTAATGAAAAGAGGTCCTTCCCTCATATTCTATTGCATAGAGACGCAAGGAAAGGTAACGACAAAGTATTCAGAGTCTAGAAAATTTGTAGCTATTACTACGTTGCCTTATTAGTTGCACACATTTGACTTCAAACTATATTTAACTGATTACTCTAATGTGAAGTGTTTTGAAATTCCATCTGATAGTCATTTCTTCTTTGTCTTCCTTTTCTATTCTTTATAAGACCAAGAAAAGAGTACAATCTGTTGTTGCCTCGAAGGCCAAATGCCTCAAACTGATTTTTTTCCCCAAATAAAGATGATTTGTTTAAGAGGCTTGAAGTCCATAGTTGTTTTTTTGCCTCCAATTGTAGAGCACGGTATGGGTTGTAGACTATGTAGTATCGTCTTTCTTCAAAATAGTGCACCATCCAAGTATTCCACAACTCTTGTAATATTTTTACCAATATAGTTTGTTTGTCATGTTGTGTCAATCTACTTGTATTTTTATTTTATTTTTTATGTGAATTTATATTGCATAATAGTCTCCTTGCTTTTATTTTAATTAATATCTCTTACTCTATTGTTAGATTTCCTCTAGACATGTTTTTTCAATACTTTTCTATTCTACCTTAAAGAAATTTACCTACAACAACTTGATTTATTTAGTTATTTAAGGATTTCAGCCATATTAATACTTCTTTTGGAAGTTTACTCTTTTGTTGGCTAATGTGCATGAATCTTAATAAATCCTTCCATAACATTTTTCTTTTTACATTGGCTTTGCATTAGTTTTTTTCTTGCCTTTACATAGTGTATTATTTTCCATTTGAACAACAATTTTATTTTTAGAGTATAATTCTTAGTACTTTATGATAAGGTATTATTGCCAGGAGTAATGCTATCATATGTATTTTTTAATTGGATTTGGTACATGTGTTTGGACACTATTTATCCAATTTTATTCTATAATAGTTATTTGAATTTCTTTTATCTACATATTCTCATCTCTTTCTATCTACTTGTTTCTTCTACTTCAATGAATTTTATTTGGTTTTTTCTTTTGGTTTGTTTGACTTATTTTAAATTAACTCATTTTAAATCATAGTGTAGAGTTGATTTCTATTATAAAACTATTTACATTCTAGCTTATTGATATTGAAAAAAATTAGACATGGCTCACAATGTTATTTGATTACCAAAAAAATAATATTGTACAAAGGTATTAAACATAATTTAGTCTAAATCACCAAGTCTGAAATTTGTCTAATTTTATTTTATTTCCTCTTTAGAAATTATAAGAAATAATTTCAAACAGAAAAGATTTTACATATATAATAGTTTAGTTTCATAAAGTATATTTCGAAAAGATTTATATATGCTTCTTTGGCTAAGTTTTGTATTATTGATTATTGATTTTTTATTTGCAAGTTGAGTAATTAAAACCCTTTTTCACGTGTAATCAAAATTTTATAAACATCCATTTGATACTATATATTTTATTAGCATTTACAAATTTATAATATATACAAACAAAAATAATTTATATTCAAATCAAATTTTACATAAAAAAGTTAAATTTGTTTATAAATGCTATTCTTTTGTATTTTTTTAAAAAATGCATCGACCACCATTAATTCTAAGAGATCTTTTCTAGAAATCAAGTTGATATGTAAATAATATAAATGTAGATTTGTTGTTTACAATAGTAAATCTTTTTCCAATTTGTTTAATAGAAAAAATTATGTCCTTTTTTGTACAAATTTAAATCCTTTATTGATTAAAGAATACTAGCTTCTATTAATTTATAAAGCTATTTTATATTTATTTTTTTACACTTTTGTCTATATAGATTGCATCACAAAACTTGGTATAGAGTAATTTCTATTCTCTTTTCTATTATAAAGTTACTTTTATGGCTGGTCAGCTATTTTTGAATTTTTTTTGTCTAATTTTGCCTTGTTGAGAATTTCAAATAATTTTCTTGGTTATGACAAATTTTTGTATTAATATTTTACACCGTTATAATTTTAATAATTGTATTTACTTCTTATAAGAGAAGTATTTTTCAACTTAGATATATTAATTCTTACTAATATTTAATATCAAATCTTTTATTTTTATTTTAACTAATTCAATAAAAAATTTAAAGTCAAATAAATTTATTTATTTTGTTAATTTATCTAACTTTATGAATTTCAATTAGTATTTTTTTTGTCTTGTATTGCAATATGTTGGCATAATTGAATTAACTTCCAAACATTGATAGACTATATCAAATTTCTTAATTATCTTATTTTCTTTTGATTTTTTTCTTCTTATAATAAATCATAGTTATTATTTCTACTAGATTGGTTGAATCTAAATTTTTTAGACTATTAAACTCAATATTATTTAATATTTTTTAATACATATTAATAGTTTTAAACTTATTATTTTTAATATTTTTCAATATTTAGTTTAATTCTATTAAACTTAATATTTTTTAATATTTATTTTGTGTGCTTCTCTTATTTTCGAACAAATAAGCTATATTTGGAAAGATCTATCTCTATTAATATGTAATATTTTCTGATATATATGTACATGTTTTTAGCTTCTATTAAAAAAAAATATTTGCATTTTCTATAAAGTTTAAAGTTTTTAATAGTTTCTAGGTGTTAATATATAATTACAAGTTAGTCAACTATTACAATAAGATGAAGGTCAATATTATAATACAACTCATCTTTATAAAAACATTCTCATCAATTAATTTGGTAAAAGAAGTTGATCCTACTTTCTTTTCTATATGTAACAATCTTACAACCAACATAGTTTAGATACCAACATTCATCCCAATTATATGCATATTATACATAAGAATTCCTTACACTATTAAAGTACACTTCCTACTTTAAGTATTCCATTTTTATATACTAGATGTCTTTAACAACACATAGAAAATTTTCAATCAAACAAATGAGGACTATCTCTTTGTGTATTATTCTTTTAAGTTTATAAATTGGTTAAGTCAAAATTGAACTAAATATTGCTACCGCAACTAAATGACTTTGTTTCTTTAATTCTCTACTAAGATTTTAAGACTTCTAATCAAATGAATTTGAATTTTTTTGTTGAACAAGAAAGTAAGAGAGTTCAAGTAAGATAGATTATTGTAGCTTTGATGCTAAGACAAAATTATTAAAATAAGGATTAGAACCTACTTTAGAAGTTGTTGCATGATTTTTCTAGGTATTGTATGCTAGAAATAAGTAGATTATAAAATACATATATATATATATATATATATATATATATATATATATTGTTGTAAATTTGTAAAAATATTTTATTGTTGTAAATTACTTCTAATAAGTGTTTAATGTTATTACTTCTTATAAAACAACTTTAAAGAATTCTTTTGAAAAAAAAATTAAAAAGTATCTATGTCAAAATTTTAATAAAATCAATCTCACCATAATCATTATCAAAATTCCAAATTACTTGCACATCAAAATTAGGTTTTCAAGACTAGAAGGTGCATACTTACCAATATCCAATGAAAAAATAAAATAAAGACTCTCCTCATTATCTCTTCTGAATAAACTTGTATTTAAAAATAACATTTGCTAATACTTGTTTGGAATTAATAACTCTTGTGAATTCCTATTCAATCATGCCAACTATTTTTTTTTAAAATCGAATTTGGAGAAACCCACCACCCACCAAACAAACTATGATAAATCACACAATTAGCTAACTAATTTGTCTTGTCTTTCACCACCTCCTCATCCACTCCAATATCTTGCACACCTTGGTTTGCAGCAGAAACCCTACACTACTGCAAACAAAACTTGCCATGTGAAAGCCCTAAACCTAACCTAACCAAGACTCAGAAAGTGATGGTTATCTACAACTACAATCTCTGCTCCTCTGCTTGTTATAACGTACTATGTCCGTTCCCTCCACGCCGCCAAGATGACTTGTGGGACGTACCCTCGAAAAATATATTATGGTTTCATTTTTGCCCTGCTTTGTAACTAACCCACGTTATAAGGATGTTGAAATTCTCCCTTTGCTATTTGCTTCTCGTTCGCTGTATCGGCAGAATTTGAGACTCACTGGACACGTCCCACAACCTTGATCAACTGGATTGCACTGGGAGGGAGACTCGCAGGGCATGATGGTTAGCAATTTTCACCCTAATCAAGGTATTTTTTCGCTAATCAAGGTATGGCTTGCGAAACGAAGAAACCTTTCACATAGAGGATTGTGCACAAGTCTCTTGACAATATAGATTACACTTGATCTGCATTGTCAAGTCATGAATTGTAGAATGATGCAATTTATTGTTCATTGTTCAGAGTTGATATCTGCGATACCTCGTCCGTGTAAGAAAGACCAAACTTACCACCTTCAATATTCCAAATGGTTTGTTCGTTGTCGAAAAAGTTCCGACCATATTAACATTAAATAACTCTTTTTCATGACCCAATTCAGAAAGTCCTTCACAACCCAGGTTCACATTCCTAAAAGCACAATTTCTAGTCAAAAGTTGTTCGTGGCAGTTTTTGTACATTCTGTTCACCGTTGAGACCATCACTTCGAAGTCGAAGAATAGCTATTGTATAGCGAACCTTCCATACTCAACCTTAAATAATCCCGTGGACACTGCTGGTGCTCATGTAAAGCGTTCTGGAAGGATACGGGAAAATGTACAGCACTTCAGGGTATTGCATAATACCTTCATGTAGCGATTTATCAAAAGTAATATCAGATGCAAACGAACGATGTATTAAACATGACTCAGACGTATTAAAACAACAAGTGTGTTCCAACTAAAAGGATCCCTACTAAATAAGTTGTCAATATCCGCATCAAAATGAGCAGGATAAATAAACCTTCAAATTGAAAGTTCATTAGCGCGGATATTGCCAATGTAAAACCTCAACCAGAAAGCTAATGATATGAAACAAGATCGATCGAACTGACATCTGCAAAGACAAAAAAAAATATATCTGAACAGGGAGGAATCGACAAGAGAATACTTGTAGACTCCACCTTACTATTACTGGCCCTAGTGCAATGTGCCCATACAAGCACTTGAAAGGAAAAAAAACATTATATCCTACAGTTTCCGCTGGTTGAACTAGAACTCATTATCTGGATCAGACCTAAAGCAGCCACATTCAAATTACCAACGATCACGACGCTCTTGACGATCTTCACGCTCGCGCTCACCGCCAATAACAGGACGCCTGTCTGTACGACCGGGAGGAGCATACGCGTCGCCACGAGCCCCAGCCCGAGGAGGCTCATATGTATCCCCTCTTGCACCAGGAGCACCATAGCTTCGACGAACTGGAAGTTCATAAGCTCTTGGAGGAGGAGGAGAATCCGCAGCATCAGACTGGCGAGCTCGGGGAGGTTGGTAGCGATCCGTGGAAAGTGGACTAGCAGCATCTCTTTCCATGTGCCTATCAGTTTCACGAGGAGCCACGCGTGCTGACACAAACACAGGGCGACGTTCTTCTACTGGCGGACGGGCGTCTCTGTCTTCACCCACACGCCGCGTGTCGTTACCACTCTCCATCCTCTTCCGAAGTGAAGGGGGAACAAATTTTCCAGGCTTGACATCGAGCTTGGGTCGCAAAGCCTCTTCTCTCTCACGCTTCTGCCTTTCTTCAGCGGCAATCTCCCTCTCACGCTGTTTAGCAGCTAATTCCTCAAATTTGGCACGACGCTCAGCCTCCTCTTTGCGTTTGCGTTCTTCCTCTGCAAAGACAGGTACCCGATATGTCAGATATTGACCATCATCGATAATTCACAAACATCACTCAAGTCCAATAACATCAACGAAAGCTTCGAAGAAGCGACAGAGGGAAAGTAACGATAGAAAATACACACCTTCCCTCTTTCTAGCCTCCTCTTCTTCCTTGATCTTCAGAAGTCGCGCTTCTTCTTGTCTTCTAAAGTACTCTTTCTTGCGTCTAATCTGACGGTCCAGTGACCTCATGGCTCGCTCCTCCCTGAGTCTCTCCTCACGTAAACGCCTCAACCTGGCGAATTCTCCTTGTCGACGGCTGATGACTTGTTCTTCAAAAATCTCCTGAAACATCACAAACTCACATGTGAATATATGCATAAAAAATGACACAAAAAATCAATCAACGAATGCAGGAAAGGTACGGATGGAAAATACCTTGTCTTCCGCCATACGAATCAACCTGTTCTTCTCAACCACATCTGTATCATGCTGCTTCTTGCTCTGCTCAAGTGCTTGCTGCAAGAACAAAGGAATATTTGTTAGAAATACACACCAGTTTTAGACACGTACATTTTTAGATACAACCATACCCGCCTAAATCATCTACATTTAAGGGAACCAGTTCAATATTGCATACCTCCTGTTGTTCCTGATAAAATTTCTCATCATCTTGGAGCCGCTTGCGGTAAGCCTCTTCAATTAGAGGTCTCTCTTCCTCTCGCTTAGCACGTTCCAAATGATCCATGGTTTTGGAGAGCTTCTGAAGCTTGCGTTCCATTTCTTGCCGCTCTTTAATTTGCTCACTCAAAGCCTCTTCCATAAGATGCTGTTTTGAGAGTTTGGAAACTTCCTGCATTTCCCACCATTCAAACACGTCAAGATCTGATAAAAATCTGATCATAAACAAAGAGATTATGCGAGTTTCTGGACCATGTGGGAGCATCTCTGCTTCACGTTCCGAACATGGGAAGATAGAACTGCATGGTCAGCAAACTTCATAAAAACATCATACACTTACTCCGTCCGTAATACCCTTCTTGCCTTTCTTCCCCTTCCGCTTCTCAGCCTCCGCGAGCATCGCCCTTGCTTCTTCAAGTTCCTTTTCTTCAATTTCTTTCCTGATTCTGGCCTCTTCTCGCCTTGCTGACTCGTTTGCAAGCCGTTTTGCCTCGGCTTCCTCCGTCAAACGTAGCTGCTTCAATCTCTTCGACTCCTCTTCTCTTTCCTATTTATATGAAAGCATTCAAACAATCCATCAGCAGCTCTTCGAACAGGGAACACAGAACTTAAAGAGACCAGCACCTATGTCCTTTAAATGTCTCCCATTATACTAAAACGAAAGGACACAAGCCTTGCTTGGTTTCAAAGTAAAGTTGCAAACCATTTCAAGCATATGCCGCTCCTGCTCTTCTTTACGGCGCTCAATCAGAACTTTACGGGCAAGCAACTTTTTATGCTCTTTCTCCACGAGAGCTTGAAGCTCAGCATAAGGAAGAATTTGCCTAGACGCTTTCTCCTCAAAAGGTGGAGAGATCATAATACAGGCTTTCTTTAACCTCTTCGCAAGAATAGTAAGATGTGTTTTCACTTTCTCGGATTCCAAATCCTGCAATAAGTTATCCAAGCACATCAATGAAAGGCTTATCCAATATCATTTCGGTGAACATGCTTCATCGCAGATTGAGAGATCCACACAATCTGGATGAGTACGCTACTGACATTTTGATTAAAGATGAAGAGGGTTTACCTGACTGCCGAAGTTTACAACGCCCATCATATGATCAACCTTCATTTGCACATAGTTGTACTTGACAGCCTCCACAATCAACTTCTCCACAGTCGAGAAATCAAAAAAGGTCACCATTCGGGTTAGCTCAGGTATTCGGATGGTCGAGTACACTTGTGAAGCCTGCTGAAAAACTCGAAGAGTTGTCAACCTTTCGAGAGCTGGAACATATTGCTCCAAACGAACTTCTGGAACAGGCGATGCTGGAGTTAACTTGTCACTCAGGCTCGGGAGCCTCACGATAAAAGCGTTCGCTTTAGCAGCGAGGTCAAGAGGATGAAACTCATTCTCCAACAATGTAAATAAATCCTTCACTTCCGGTGACACATAAGTCATCACACCTTTCGCAACCTTACGAGAGCAATACGAACAAAATATACCCCCGTCAGTAACCATAATCAAGATCCAATTCAGAACAGGTATAATGTTACAAGCCCGTAGGAAATTTAAAATTAAGAATAAGTAAAAATAAAAATTAATAGGGCAACGTCTCTGAATATAAGGCGTGGAAGATTCGAAGGGCATGTAACAGGAAATAAAGGACTGAAGCCATAGAGAAAACAGATACTACGGCAACCACCGAGCATGAAATATGTCGAAATGAGACTTACCAATTCAGAAAGAAGAGCTGCCCTTGAGAGCTGCAAGTAGCCAAGTACAATCAAAGAAGTGCAGGAATATTAGTGAAAAAACTAGAAAGTAGTAATAAATCCAACTACTCAAGATTCTTATGGTCAATCTTAGACGCGGGTTGCGATCAATTTCTAGAAAGAACAAGATGTGCTGAATTATGTCGAGAGCAGACGCTTACCACTTCCCGAGAATCTTTTTTTGCATCTATACTGAAACCAAGGATGTTGGCCATGCGAATATTCCTGTCCTTCTCTATCTCCAACTCAGAATGGGGAGCACCATGTTTACGGTCGTAGGGAGGAACAGCGAGAGTTGCCAACACAACAGAAGAAGCCATCAGTTGTAAATCCTTAGCTGTAAGATTCTTATTGTAACTCTTCTGCAAATTGTAAAGCTTGTACCATGCATATGCATGGTACAGGTGATTGTCGGACATCCAATATATTTGAGTCAATTTGGCATAATACACAGCCATCATTTGAGGCTTGGGTGTTCTCTTAACCATCGTCATCAGTCCATGGATGTCTTCTATCGAACGGAATGCTTCCTGAAGAAATGAAACAAAAAGTCAGCTGCTTTGCCCAAATCTAAAACATACACTTGTCATACAGCAGTGCCCGTGACTGCATCTTGTTCTCTCTCTCTCTCTCTCTCTCTCTCTCTCTCTCTCTCTCTCTCTCTCTCTCTCTCTTGCGCTTCATGAGTGAGTTCTTGGCCAAAACAAATCGTCACAAAAAGAGCCGTACCTGCCAAAGCTCCAGCTCAGTGGCAATCTTGAGCTGCTCAAACCTAGTATCCAGGTACAATTGCAAACTTTCTGGCTGAGTAAGATCAGGCCTATCACGCTGATCTCTGTACTTGTTCAGGTTAATGAGATGGTTGCGAAGAATTTCGCAGAGGCGCCGAAACTCAGTGGTACGCTTATACTGAAGACAGAATTGGAAAGCCCGGTGAGCCGTCATCTGCAAGAAAATTGAAAGAGTGATAAGAACCATAAAGAAGGCCCCCATTTAACCCTTCAAGCGCATGTCGTAAGGGATTTGAAGAGGCACATATCACAAGAAATTGTTTTCTCGCAAGCAATAGTATCAACTTACAAACAAACCTTGTTGCCGATACACGGACTACGTCTATAAAAGCTTCCCTTCTCTGGATATGCTCAAACCTAATAACAAGAGGTAAATTTTGCTTCACAAAGAAATACTTACAGCGTACAAGGATTCCAACTTTGAATTGTTCCGCAAAATCTCCAAAACTGTACGGTAAGTCTCCCACAAAAACTTAAACCAAGGAGTCACGGTCTCGCGGTCTGATCGTTCTTTGCCCCTCTCGCCACTGACATAACTCAACATCAAATCTTCTGGCCTTTTCTCGGCCTCTAAATCCTCCACATCTAAAGTTACCTCAGCAGCTGCTGCTTGGGCTTGTGCTTGCTCAGCCCGCTCACTAGACAGCTGAAGGAAGTACTTGATTACTTCTTCCAGAGAACTAACATTAACTTGCTGACATACTATTCTGTACTGAATAAGCCCATCCTTCGCAAATCTGCCCTTCTTCATATCTACACACAGCTCCACATACTTGAACATAATCTTTTCTAGTGTCTTCTGCCATGCTCGATACCTCTTGGAAGTGATAAGATCGTGGAGAGCTTGCAAAGCAGCTTGCTTCTGGCCAACGTTCATCAACTCTGCAACCAGTAATAACCCCAAAAATTAACCCAACTGGCATACAAGATACACGGCGGCATGAAGACCGGGCAACTTGAGTCACACATTGCCGGATAACCATGTCGTAAACTCAGCGATCCAATCCTTGATCCAGTATAAACTGGCAGCCAATATGCGAGACTGAGTTCAAATTCAATAAAAATAAAAATCGAAATCGATAACATAAATGTAAATAAACCACACCATTAGAATTAAATGAGGAAGCTGGTCATAATGATCAGGTCACAAAGTCATCAACATCTTGCGACCTAATCATTAACAGAACTGTCAATGATAGGACGCCTCGTCTAAACAACTGCAACATGTTGGGACGTACACTATATAGAATAAAAAACTTCTTGATTGCAAAATGATCAATGATCATCACTACGAAAAATGTAACTCGTCTCCGACGAAGATAAGATCGAGACTAAATCAACAATTGTGGGAAACCTGTATGCTGAAATATAATAAAAACAATAGAAAAATTTTAAAAAACAAAACAAAACAAAAATAAATAAAACAAACAAACAAACAAGATCATTCTTTTCGAATTCCAAATAAGCAATCAAGTTCACTCACTACGCGCACAAACAGCGAACTGAAAAAAGCAACAAATTACGAAAAATGAAGAAATTGTAGGGCACGAACAGCCATCGGCGAGCTCTATCCAACGCCTCTCCTAGAATCAACTAAGTCAACACGACGCGGAAAGGTGAAAAGGAAGTTCTGCAGAAACATAATGAAAAGACTGAGAGAGGGAGGGAGGGAGAGAGAGAGAGAGAGAGAGAGAGAGAGAGAGAGAGAGAGAGAGAGGAGGAGGAGGAGGAAAATGCAAGGGGTGGTGTTTTCAGGAGACCTTCCGCTCGCTTGAGGGCATTCTCGGGCTTCGCAAAAGTTGACATGGTGTTCCGAGGCGAGACGCCACCTGATCCAACGAGGGCGTAGGAGGATGCAGCACCAACACAAAACTACCCGGAGGATGAAGACGAGAAGCAGAAGAAAGAGGAAGAGAAGGGAGTGGAGAGGGAGGAGGAAGTGAGGGGCAGAGAAAGGGTCAGACAGAGCGAGAGAGGGCAGAGGCAGCACGACCAGCCCTGCTCACAACGACGCAAGCAAATGGCAGAGCACAAAAGGGAACACCAGCAAGCGTCCGGCAAACCCTAATAAGAATTCACCCTCCCTCGGGACTGGCTCATGACACCCCGCTACGATCGTGCCACGTGGACGGCTACGATTTTCCATTCCAGCCAGGCTGAATATATGACTTTCCGGGTGCATATGATCCCATTCGGCTTTCTATTTTTGAATTTATGTATTATTACAAAATATATATACTTATTAATATGAAAAACACTTCTTTGTGTACAAATTTTTTAGAAAACATGCTATAAACTGGGTTAGATTGAGAGGTGAGATTTTAAATTATGTTACTTTTTTCTTTTCTTTTTTTTTTTTTTTTTGTTTTTGCTTTGGGCATTTTTTTTGCTTGGGAATCCTTTCACACCGGAAAACACACGTTACTCATTATTATTTTGGTTGTGGGATTGTACAAAATGTACATGAGAAGAATATTCCTTTGGAGTGGTCAGTCTTTGAGCAATGCATTCCTTCTTTACAATACAATATTCTATGTTCTATGTTATTAGAATTTCAGCATATTGAAAATGTATTTGTAAACAATATAAAAAACCAATTACACAAGGAGAAAATACATTATTCTCATTCGTTGTTATTAATTTAGGACTAAATTTCTCAAAAGTAGAACATTATTTTGATCTAAATATAATTTGAAAATCAAGTGTACGTGATCAAATTTACTCATAAGAATCACGTTTAAATTTGTTTTTCTGCCTTTTTCTAAGATTTTATTGCTCTTCTTGTTTATTGCTTTCGACTTCTCATTCTAACAACATATTTTAGCCTCATTTGATACTTCAAATGCAATGACAACTAGATTTTGAATCAGCTATCCTTGCAACTGATAAACATTGGTTATATTCACTGAAATCCTATTTCCCAAGTGCACTGAAGTCTTGTATGTAAAAGATGAGATGAACTCTTCAATACCTGAGCGACACTTGACATTTTTGGAGTTTTTCATAGCACAGGTTCCAATTTTATATTTTTGAAGTTCTTCCAATAAGTATAATAGTATAATTCTTCGAATGCAAAAAAGTTTCAAGACAAGTGTAATTTTTTCAAATGCAAACACAATACAAATTCGAAAACTCCTCCAAATAATCAAACACATAAATAAAAAACCAAATAAAGGAAGTATGAGAAAAACGCATATTTTGACTTATTGTTACAAAGATATTCACCCATACACATCACCTCAATACAAAATGATAAGTATTGTATAATCAATACAAAATACAAGTTCCACATTTTTCACATTCCACAAAAACTACCAACCACAAATCATGACTCAGTGAACTTCGTTGAAAATACTTGCAAGTAAAGAAGTATACTCATTAAGTTCAGTTAAGAGTCAACGAAGTAACATTGTTGTTGGTACACTCTCACTGCTAACAATCATTATAATGCTCTACGTAAACTAAAGATCCGAAACCCAACTGAAGCATAAAAATGCATTAAGAATTGCTGCGACACGCAATATCCACACACTAGAAGAAAGTTCGTTGCAAATGCTAAAAGACGTAAGCATTATAATAAAACCCTGTATATTCAGCTGTTACTTGCGGGTGAAGCATTTCCACACCTAATTGTTTTCATACCGAAGTATAAGTCCAAAATTTTAATTCATATAACTAAACAATGACCCGCACAAACGAACATTTAGAACTTATTTGCTTCTCGACATTTTATTCCGCAGTTCCAATGAAATCGATTGATTTCTAGGAATGCACAATAACATAACCAAATTAATCGAATTAAGACCAACAGAATTCAAAAAATAATCCTCCAATACAACATTGCATCCTGACTGAAAAAAGTAAGACTGACCTATTGACCAAACCCGTGTTGAAGGGTGCTGACCTCCGAATAGGGGGTCCAAAGTAAATGCTACTAAACTCGCAAGAAACTAAATCCATCATGAATCCACGACACGACCAATTCATAACAAGTCCAACTTGTAGCTTCCCCACACTGGGAGAACTCCAGTGCAAGCACTACAAACCCATGCATACCAAACGACCACCCAGGATGATCCAGAAACACCAATACAAAGAAAATTTCAACACCATCAAGCAACAGAAGAATCCGCGATCCTCGCCACAACTCAAACCTCATCACGTAGGTCAAAGACGCGTTCTACCCATAAACCATACATGCCAAACCGCAAGCAATGAGGTAAAAAAAAGAAATCGAAACTCAAACAATTTGTAATGGTTGACTATGGCCGTGTTCCTACCTTGCAAATACTCTTCATCTCTCAACAACACTCATGTCCAACTCCTCTTAATCACCACCTACCATAACGCATCCTCCTGAAAAAAAGAGAGGGGATGCCATCACCTCATCGCAACCATTCCTCCACCATTCCTACCTTCCTCACCCTCTCCGCTTCCCAACCTTAGCTCTTCTGCTCCAAGCTCTCGTAAAACAGAATGTACCCGTGGTCCGTGTTGTTCGAATACTCCTGCGTCGATCCAAAAAATGTCTGCACGATCGACTCGTCGATGATCTCCACGTTCTCGTCGTCGAAAAACAGCCAGTGGTTGTGGCTCTTCACCAGACTCACGTAGTGCCCGTGATTCGGTCCACTCCCCACGTGCACCACCACCGCAAACAACGAGTACTCTGCCTCCGACCCAGGTGCATCGTCCGTCGTGTTGCAAAGCTTCAACTCCAACGGAAACACCACCCGGTACGACAACTTCTTGTACCGCCCCAACTGCTCGATGTACTTGAATCGCTTCAGGTGCAGCGCTAGAATCCGCGGTGCCGACTTTATCTTCATCCTCTTTTGCGCTTCCTGCAAACTGACCCACCAACATCGTGTCACTGCTGCCATCGTATCCACACCAACTCAACCATCCCCTCCTCTCCCACCCTGCTCTCCTCTCATCCACACTTCCCTCACCCACTCACGCGTCTCCTCCCCACCTCACATCCATTCCACCATCCCACAGCTCCACCTCTCTTCTCACATTGCACTGCGCCTCTCAACAATCCCACTCCCCACCCCCCTCTCCCCGACCAACTACCACCACCGCCGTCCGCATTCCTGCCCAACCACACACACCCTGCTACCCACGTCTACGATCCTCAACCCCCCACACCATCCTCCTCCAAACGCACCATCTACTCACTACCGGCCCAACCACGTCTCAGCTACTTCTCGCAATCCTATCACGCCTCACCCCCAAACTACTGCCACCAAACCCACCTGCAACACTTGTCGCAAAAGAACTTGTCCTCCGCGTTCAGCGTTTCCGTAGAACTGAAATTCCGCAGGCAGCTCGTTATGGAGCTGTTCTGCTCGATGTCCAGGCTCAGATCCAAGAATGTCTCATCTCGCGCAGTGATGGTTTCGCATCGCAAGCATCTCGTCTCGTTTGTCAGTATCCCCTGCATCACACACCCACCCACACACCGCGCCTCCCGCCCGTCAGACAACCCGACCCACATACGTCCACACCCTCATCTTTTTTCACTTTGCACCCACATTCACACAACGTCCCCACCGTTGCCCACCACCGTCACATCACGTCAACCCTCGCACCTGGAATATCTTGTGTACCCATGTCACCACTGCTTCCTTGTGCGTTCCGTTCGCCAGGCCGCTCACTGACCCATTCCCCACCACCTTGCCCGGTGACGTCTCACACCCTGAATTCGACTTCGCTGCTTTCGCCTCTCTCTCCAGGATGTCAACCAGCTCATTCAGCAGAAAGTTCAGAAACTCATGGGCATCCTGCACCAACCAAATAACAGTCAACATCTGCTCGCCCTTCACAAACAACCTCCTACCAAACCCCAATTCCCGCGACGCGCGTAACAACACCTCCGCATCCCTGCACACGGGAGCTGTCCATCAACAGCTCTAGCTCAAACCCAAGCCTCCCTCGCACCTGATGCATGTAACTCCGGAACAGCTCATTCTGCTTCTTCACTCTTTGCACGAATCGCTTCGGGGCTATCACCCCAGTCTTCTTCTTCTGCGAGTTTATCTGCACCCATCCAGTTCCTCAACGCGCGTCAAACATTGTGCAACCCTTGCTTCCACACCCCGTTTCCGTCACATATCCCTATTGCAACTGCCACCCAACCCTTCGTACACGCGCCAAACCCCAACCGCACCATCACGTCCCCTCCCCCACACGCCCCACTGCCTCCGTGCCCACCACAACGCCTGCTTGACCGATGCACCAACGCACAAGAAACAATACCCCCTCACCTGTGAGAACAGCTCGGACAAGCACGTCAGCAGATTCTCCTCTGCTTCAGCGACGGGTTTGCTCTGACCGCAATGCTCCAACAATTGATCCCGGAATGGGACGCAGAAGTACAGAGCCTACAAAACACCCAACACACAACCCATCACTCAATCTCCTCGCACGCACTGCTGCGTTCACGTCCTTCTACTCGGCCCGCACATGTCCAACGCCCTCGCAAAACTGCCCAAACCCCACGTCTCGTCCCTCGATCCCTCGATCACAATATCAGGTGTGTCAATTCGTCCGGCCAACAGGGTAGACACAATCATGCCATCAATTCACCGCTTTCCCTCTTCAGCTGCAACTGACCATCCCAACCCAACTCTTCTAGATCCCTCGATGACCTAATCGGGGCACCATCGCATCCCAAGCCGCAACAAACTCGCGGAAACCCAAGCACCGGGCATCTCGAACAAGCTCCTTCACCACCGCGCCACAACACGGAACCAAAGAGTGCACCGTGACGACGCAGCCGGGGCAACACGATTGCATCAGAAACGAAAACCCAGCACGGCAGAAGCAACAGGGGGAACGAGACCAATACCTGCAGAACGCTATTGCAGTAGCAAGTGTTGCCGAAATTCTCGAGGCCAAAGTAGCGCTCTCCCTCGGGAAATTGATCGCCAAATGCCTTCTCCAGCTTGGAACCCGAGGCTCCCATGACCATAGGTCGTCCCCCGTCGGAGAGAGAGGGCAGCTTGGCCACAGTCCGAGTCTCACTCTCTCTGCCTTTCCTTTGCTTCCTCCTCCTCCTCCTCCTCCCCCTCCCCCCTCCCTTCCCCCGCTACTCCGATCTCACCACGATCTCACCGCGATGTCCATCACCGCCTCCGTCGCATGGCATGCTTTGCCTGTTGCTTCAGCCTCCTCACACCGTCCACGAATAAGCACGTGGGCTTATTCGCCTGGGGCACCCGTGGAACACAGAAGAAACAACGTCATCACAAGGAGAGTGGGATGACGAGGAGGAGAAGTGGTGACGATGTTGATTGTGGGTTGGCTTGATGATGTGCAGCAGGGGCGATAGCCGCACAGTAGCAGACTCTGCAACTATTGCAATTCAGTTCCTTCCTAATCGTCCAGAGTTGGTTGTGGATTTGCGAAGCCACTACTGCGAATTTGTGTAGGAAACGATGGTGCTATTGGGGCATCAAACTCATCAGCTTCCATAACCTTCGTCCGCATTTCAGGCCTCCAAGAGTGCCGCTGATGTGCATTCTGTGTTGCCTTGTTTTATTCGTTTGTTCTTCTTCGTTTGTCGCCTTCAGTTGTGGCCGATTCAGCCGTCTTAGATAGAGTCGTGGTGGCGGATCTCGATCAGGATTTTTACCTCTTATTGGTTTATTCACGTGGAAAATAGAACTATTTTTTATTTGGGTTTTTATTTATGTAGAAACGAGTATTTGTGTATATCTTGTAGTTTTGACTTTATCGTCTCGTTTACATTATTTTTATTATTATTATTATTTTAGTATATAGCCTTTTTGTACTTGTTAGATTAATTTGTGGTTGTTTTCGTCTTCAATTGTTTCGCCGGAATATATTGTATCAATTTGAAGACTTCAGGATTGGGTTAATATTCAAGCATATCTGATGGGTCTTCAATTTTATGTATGATTCGATGAATATGTGATGTTATACTTTTGTTGTTGTAGGTGGAGGAGTTGCATAACATTTTCAATTTTCAAGTGAGTTGTGGGCATGTGGATGCTTATGAATACAATTGAGAGCTTATTTAAATTTGTTAGTAGGATAGTTCTTTCAATTTGGAATTCCCAATATAAAAAATTTGACTTTTTGTGTGCATGATCAAATAATTGACAAAAGCTCATCTCTTTTTTTATGTGCAATTTTTTTATTTCAAATTTTGGAGTGGTATAAAATTGTGTCTTTGACCCTAAAAAAAAATCATACATAACAAATCTGCATTGTTACTTTTCAAATTGTTCAATTATATGCTTACGTGATGGCAGATTATGTTTTGTAAATAGAATTGACATGTTTTAAAGATATCTCTTACAGAATTTAAGCTGGAATAACCAAGATGTTTTAGTGTTGGAGTGAATCGATTCTTTATTTTTGTTTGATTTAATTCTAGAAACAATGAGGAATTATATATTAAACATTTTTATCGATTACTGTATGTATAGTAGTCTCAATAATACGTATGGTTTACATTCAATATATCGATGATACTTTGTCTATGAACGTTTGCTGCAAATGCAAATAAAATTAAAATCTTATGGATCTTCACAAATTCCACGTGAGTAAACTATTTTATATGTGTATGTTGCGTGTTTTTTGATATCATTGTTATTATCATATTCGGATGAATGAACTGAAGGAGCTCAGTATGTATATGTTTGAGTGTTGATTTATTTTTAAAAAATGAAATAAAATGTAGTCAAGCATTCTCAATGTTTTAACATCCCATGGATGCGATTTCTTATTGTGTATAGTCTTAAAGGATCGTTTTTGAAAATGACGTACCTCAAGCTATAATATATATTTTAAAGTTGGTACTTCCAAGTATGGAATAATGAAAAAGAAACGACATTTAAAAATAATTTGATAAAATATCAGCTTATATTTTTTTAACAAAAAAAGATGAAAATATTGATTATGACTTAGTATATCAACTAGATTAGTTCAAAATATGTTGTGGAAATATCTTTTGTGTGAGCGTGATATTTAAATAGTAAATATTAAATATTGTCCCCTGGCTTTTGTGATCATCACTAGTTTCATCTAAAATAGCTTTTGGGTTATTTTGGTTCCTAGGTGTTGTGAAATTATAAATTCACACACATTGTGAAAAAGGAAAAGGAAAAAAGAAAAAGAAAAAATGGAACAAAACGGATTAAATTGAGCATGTGTCAACTTATTTTATTCAAATACATGTTTCAAAATTGTATTTCATACGTATTGTTACATACAAAATACAAAATGGATCTCCTTTCCAACATGTTAATATATATATGTATATATACATATATATATATATATACGGGAATGTTAAATAGAATCATACTTTTACTAAATAGACCCACTTTTGATGACAAATATGATAATCATGATGAAAATACAATGTCTACAAAGCTACAATCAATTGGCCTTTCAAGTAGAAATTAAAAGGAGAAAGAATGAAGGAAAAAACGATGGTGGAAGAGCGTACAGCAATACCGTATAATACGATACTTTGTCACAGTCGTACAATTTTCAACACAGAGTTCATTCGTCGATACATGAATGAAATGTCTACACGGTCTCATTCATTCATTCATTCAATCGGTCTTCGCCGACGGGCCGAAGAGACATGAACCAAAAGGAGAGTGAGCTGCAGACAGTTTTCAGTTTCAGGCGTTGGGGCCGTTTGTCCCTAAAATTAGGGTTTAGGGTTTATGGCGGCAGTTGAATTCCTTTGTACAATTTCGCTTCGTGGACGTCACTTCATGCACACTGGAGTTTTCCAGTGTTAGGCTGAAAGTGGATTCTGGTGCCGCTCCAGCCTCGTAATCTGTAGAGGATCCCCCCAACGAGCTGTAGGAACGTGTACCAGGAGAATCCTATTTTTGTTTTTGATTGAATTCAATTTTGTGCCAAGGGAGAGAGAGTAGGATTTTGTCAACAAGCCGTGGAGCAGTGCATAGACGAAAGGGAAGAAGAGAAGCGGAGGCGTTATGGCGTCAGCGCTTGCTAGTCAATTGGAGGCCCTGGCCGTGGCCACGGGCCAGCCTACTAGCACGAGTAGGAAGATCAGAGCGTCAATAATTTTTACGCCTTCTCAAGCTGCGGATGTCGACCTTAGAACCATTTATGATCTTTGCGACGCAGGTGTGACCATGTTTTAAACACCCCTCACTCCACCAGGTGAAAGGAATGTCACAGGCACTTAGTGGAATAGAGAGTACTGAGAAAAGAATCGTACGAACCTTTTTCATGTCTGGAACTCATGCTTGTTCTTGTGTGCGTGGGTGGGTGTAGGTCTAGGAGAGTTAGCCGACATCGACGGGCGGTTTGAACCATACAGACACACCTTGTTCAGTGTGGAGACTTTGAAATTAGACCGCGAGTTGCAATCACGCGAGCTTAACGATAAGTTGAATAGATCAATCGGTACTTTCATTCGAGTATTGTCGAATTACATTTTGCTCAAGCCTGCACATCAAGTATTGGAATACCTCATCCGCCGCTACAAGTGTGTGACCTTCACACCATCTTGGATTAATTGCATATGTGGTGCACAGCTAGACGAGGTTTACACGTGTTGGGCTTCGCACGATAGTACGTGTTTTTGAGTCAAAGTACATGATTTTTCAGAATATTTTTTTGACAGCTTTTTAATTCTCTGACTGGTTTTTGCAGAATTCATATATACAATGTGGAGGATATCTTAATTTCCATATTGCCATATCATGAAACTAGTCTCTTCGTCCGTATTCTTCAACTCCTTCAAATTAAGTAAGTATCAGGGTTTTTGAGAGTTATCAATTTCTATCAATAACCTCTTGGGTGATTGTTGCATGAGCCATCCGATTCTGAGAAAAGTTGGAAGTTGCCATTACAAGTATTTTCTTCATTGTATGGTAAATTTTACGTTCTTATTGGAAGCCTTAATCTTTTTGAGAAGCTGTTTAAAGTTTAACAAGAGTTTTTGCTCTCTAATAATTAAGCACGACCCTTTATGATCAGTATCCTCATCAGGCCAGATTGCTCACCAAGATTTAGTTAGCCTCTTTGCATAGCTTACATAATGGTAATCGTTAGTGTTTGTTAACTGCGGGTTTTTCCCTGTCTCGTAGAAACACAAAATGGGCGTTCTTAGAAAGAGTGCAGAAATCGGGTGCTGCACCAACTCGTGCTGCGCTGGTGGATCAGTGCAGGAGGGACCCGGCGGTGCTCGATACACTCTGTGAAGCTGTAAGGTTTTACGGCTGTACATTAAAGAAATGAATGTTTGAGTGGTTGTGTTGGTTGTTATTAGACGCTTGCGCTCGTGTCTGTGTCCTTCTCGCAATCGCATTTGAAATGGGTAGGCAGTTTTTTTAGGTCGTGCGAGGGTTGCCTGACGCATCTTCTGGGAATGCTCTTTACCTGTTTAAATAACTGCATATGTCAAATAGCATTATCATTCTAGCTTACTTGTAAAATGAATTCTTGCTTTTGTGACCAAACCGAATTGCGTATGCTCTGGCCTGATTTGGCTGTTCCATTGATATGCGGATTTCATAGGCTGTGAAGGTCGCTCGAATGCCGTCTAAGACTAGGACCATTGCGTCGTTTACATCGATTGTTGTCATGGAGCTGCTGGCCACTGTCCCATCAGTGCAAACCAGTACCGTGAACAGAATCTTGCCCTTCGTCTTGCACAGCTTCGAAGGTGGCATCACGGAAGACTATCGGGTATGTGTTTGTGGTGCAGGCAACCACTTTTATTTTTCACAACCCTATGGTGTTTGTTCATTCGTTTATATATTTAATAGTTCTATATCTCATGTTTTCAGTAGCTCTCTAGCTGGGGTTCATTTCCTTGTCGCTTCTATTGTAATCGAGTTTTGCCATTCTCATCTATGCTTAATTTTTGTGACATTGGCAGTGCTACGGAGTTGTATCAGTAGTAATAGTTCCTGCAAGATACTTTGTGTGTTCTTGATGTTTTCGTTATCTTTCCATAGTTCAACTTTTGTTTTCTTGTCTAATATTTTTTCTGGATACATAGATACTTTTTGGGTTTACTTTGGGCTTCAATGTCCACATATTTGTTGCCTTATATTCACACACTAAGTCAAACAGGAGGCAAATGCCCATGATGGGATAAGGATAGGACATCGCATGTAGAGATTTTTCAGTTTATCTATTTGTTGTTGCAATGAAAGGTTATGTCTTTTTTTGTAATATCTTTATGGTTGTGCAGGTTGGGGCCCTAATGGTGATTGGTACCTTAGCCAACAGAACATCTCTCTCCTCTTCATTGGCGGAGACGTTAATTGTTTCCATTGCGAAAAAATTACAAATAGAGTCTGCTGTTGAAGGAGCGCCTCTCACCAGGATTTCGTTGATGGTCATGATTCAGCTCATGCAGGCCAGTTTTTCTCAAGTCCTTGCATTCCACTCTGGCACTTTCTTGTGACAGTACAGTTCGCAATTTTTGATAATGTTGTTTCGTTTTCTCGGTTTCAGAGTCGCAAATTATTCCTTGACACTATTCTAACGTTTACGTTGCTCAAAGAAGTCTGTGTCGAGTCCGCAATTCATGATGGATTGAACGATGTGTTACGCCCTGCTCGTCTCTAGCTCTGTAGGTTTTCAGCAGCTCTTAGATCCCTCAATTTGTATGAATGTCATTATTGTTACTGTATGTTTTTTGATGTAATGTTTTGTCATGTAAATTAGCCATGTTTGTTCCTGCAGACTCAAGCTATGGATCAGTTTCCGGTACAGGCTTTCAAAATGCTTGTGAAGTCAGGGTGAGTTTAGCAAATGAATTGATTTCTCTGCTAATTCATACATTTTCATTTATTTATTTTTTGGTTCCTGACCTTTTAGCTCTGTATATATATATATTTATTAGCTCTGAGTGCATTAAAATATCTTCGTTTCCTGCATGTTTCACTGATGTCATTCACCTATTGTAGCTAAGTGGATGTTGCAAGAATCCCTTCCTCGCTCTTTCCATTTTTCTGTAAGAGCTTTCAGTAGATATTTTTTGTTGAGTTATGTTCCAGGGATGTGAAGTGTTTGTGTATGTTAGGAGCTTATGTTTATGACGTGATCTATACAGGGCTTTTTTCGAACTGTTGGCCAAGCTTATAGTGATGTACGATGCAAGCAAATTTCTCTCCCTCTTTCTCGAAGTTCTAGTTAAACACTGGTAAGTTGATCGTTGAAAGCCGGGTCCAGTTCAAAGTTTGGGTGTAAACGTGGTTGAGCATGATGAAACGTGTTTAGTTATTCTCGAATACTTTATTTGTAATTCTACATGATTCGGAAATCACCCAGCTGATCTTCTTTGCAAGGAACGCGCTACCTGCTTGTGACCTTTAATTGGTTAACATCATTCTGAATATCCGTAGTACCAATCCAATTTTCCTCGCTGGGTCTCAGTTATCCGATCCAAGCTTGTCGTGCCACTATCAAATGATGAAGCTGATTTTAGAAATTGAGAATTTAAACATTAATTGGTTCCGCGCAGTTGAACTTTATTGCACTGATGATTAACCAAGTCATGGTACTTTTTAAAACTGGCAGTGCTGCACATGTGAACTATGAGCGGTCTCTAGTGGCCATGATCGACACAATTCCATTAAAAGATTATGTGGGACAACTGGTGGCAAATATTTTACAACTCTACATGGGAAACATTGGTGTAGAGGTTGGAGAACAGAGGAATTGCAAGGAAATTTCCAAGCATCTCTTTCGAGTAATAGAGAAGCGGTTCCCTACAGAGCTGGACAGTGCAATCTCTTCAGTTTTAGAGGTAATTGCATGAATATGGTAGTTCTTGTTGATATATGATTTACCATCGTATGTTTATCATCGCAAGCTACTGGGCTACTTTGCTACAATTATTTCTTGCAATGTTAGAATGTGGAGATTCATACATTGATGCTTTGACAGAACCGATCTGAACCTGGGAAGAGCCAGAGGAGTGCTCAACAAGAAGCCCTGAACGAGATATTTCTGGGAACTCTTCACATGCCTCTCGTGGAATCTAATAAGACTCTTTACGCTTCACTGGACCATCCAGAGGTACTTTTAGTTTTCCATACAGGAAGTGTGTATGTTTGTGCTGAAATTAAGGTTCCATTTAGTACAATTGCTTCAGGAATGGCTTCAACGAACTTAGGTCTCTTAATTCTGTTTCGGTTAATATCTTTTTTGCATTGGTTTTCTATGTAATTTCTTGATTTAACGCTTGAAATTCAGGCGCGGGTTCGAGTGGCAGCAGTGAAGCGATTAGCAGAGATTGATAACGCACAAAATAATAATCTCCACACCCAGGTGAGTATCATCACCATCTGCTGACTAGTCGAAAATGCAATTTTTTGTCGTATGCATTGTTGATGATGTTCATGTTGCTGGACTAAGTGATCTTATTTTGTTTATGCAATTTCATCATGTTTAAAGTGGTTGTAGTGTGTTACTTACCATTAACTATCCCGAAGAGTCGTGCAGTTTGTGGAGGCTGACCCTGGTTTGTGGCATCGCAGATGAAAGATATGATGTGGGAGACCTTGTTTCAACGTGCTCACGATGAAGACTACGGTGTATTGGAAGCACTATTGTCTGTCGAAAGTCTCGTTCACTACCCTTACCCAGAAAAACTATTCAAGATGTTGACATCTATAATTTCTAGGAGCTTACACAGCATCACATCAGGTTCGTATTTGGTGAAAAGATGGTTCTGTAGGTACAAAATTATTTTCAATCTTATTTAGTTAATAAATACTGTGGTCGAGATTTGAAATAGAATGAGTGATTCGATTACCTTAAGTACTTTTGGAGTGCAACTCCTCGGTGCCGAACGATGTTCGCCATATGCTTTTTGCGTTGTGATTTTTCTAATTTACGAATCAAACAAATTTGTAAAAGTAATTATTAACTTCTGACTTGAAGGACTTGTAACATCATTTTCTTCATGTAGTAGTTTTGTCAAGTTGAGCTTCCCACCATCTGTAATTTTTTTGCTTAGATAATACATGAGATTTAACAGAGATGCCTACAAAAGTGGTGAGATTTGTGCGTATTCCTCTTCTTTTGGTCATGTTGAAGGATTTCTGCTTTTTCTTGATTTGTGATTAGTTCAAGAGGCCATGTTTAAGTCATTTGCTAGAGTGACCTGCCGTTTTGCATAGCAGCATGGATTGTTGCTTGTATAGTTAAGGGACGTTACACTTTCATTGCTGATACCGCTGGCGGAAATATTTTTATTCTTCTCAGGCGTAAACGTGGATGCTCGCGTCATTGCAACTGCAAGTTCAACTTTGAAGCTTCTTGCGTCTGGTTTTCTCACGCTACATCCAACTTTTGCGGAGCGAGTTGCAACTGTACTCTTCGGTCTTTGTCTTACATCCCGTAAGGTATAAATTATACTAATAGATTATGAAATTCGATTTTTTATTGCAGCGTAGTTGTTTGAACATCGTTTTTGGAATTGTTCGTACTGCTCATTGTCGATTGCTTATCTGAACGAGTGCTTGCTTTCAGACACTCCAATTGAATTTGGTTGCACTGAAGTTAGCAAGAACGGTACCGTTTGCACTGTTTGAAGCCTTGCCAGAGTTTCCGGAATCAATTTCTGGAAAGGCAAAAGATGCAAAGAATCAGAAGGTGAGTGGCTTCTTAGATTTTGACTTATTTATACTGTCTACATAAAATTTTATGAGATCTTTCTCAACGTTGCTTCTCATCACAAGTTTTCATCAGATGTAGTTGAGGCTTTGGTTTTTACTAATTATCTTGTTAGTTACATGCTGTACACGTCAAATAATATGTGATACAATGTGGGTGCTGTTTGATCTTAGGAACAACTGTTGGTGCTTGTTAACGAAAAGTTGGTATCTAGCCTAACTACGTGCGTGCTGAAGAAGAGTGAAATTTTGCTGCCGGTCTTGCTTAGCACTGCTACGGACTATGTCCAAAATAAATGTTTAGCCCTAGCCGTTTTGCTACGTATCCTCCACGAATCTCCTAAAGGTACTTGTACTTTCACATGTACCCCAGTTTTTTATTTGGGTATTTGATTTTCTTATTGTTTTTTGATTTTCGTGGTACTTGCGTACTCTTGTTAGATCCTAGAGTTTCCGAGTTAATGGCGTGGTTAATTGCAGGTTCTATTTTGAACGTAGTCGACGTATGTTTGCCTTGGCTCAGAGGTCAGTTAGTTGCCTTGCAGTCAAAGAACTTTGATTTTAAGAACGCACCTACTCAGCAGGTATATTCTTTTTTCACTTTCCCCTATCATCTTAAAGATCTGCGTTTTTTCTCTGTAATCTCCGGTTGTTTGCTTGGTACCTGGTTGCTATTCTTTAAATAACAGTAGCGTTCATTTTATGTAACAGATTTGTGCATTATTATTTATAACTCACCAGCATAACTAGAAACTGAAGAAATTGATGAACAATTTCTAGAGGTTTTGTCTGATGTTTTGATAAAGTTGGAACCCGTCAAAGTAGGAGTTCATATTGATACTTCTTCAAAGGATGTGATGTATGTAGAGCTTACATCTAATTATGTTGGTGATATGGGTCGCTTACAGGAAGACTATAGTGCGGCTAAAATCAGGTTGGTTGAATTTGAGCTGCTTGATACACAACCGAGCCACCTCCATGCAGACCTGTTATTGAAGAACTTTTATAAGCTCTTAGAAGTAATTCCAACCAGTTTCAAGGTTTGTGAATCTGAAGTTACATTTTATGTTAATTCCGAGGTGTTGAAAAAACCTAGAGGACAAATTGAGGGATGTTGCGAATGAGTCGTTGGTCATTGCATGTACGTGAAAAGCTGATGATAGTGTTCCTAAGTTGAATTTTATCCGGCTTCTTTTCAGGGAAAGTCGATCCAAACAAATGATCGGCTGAAGACGTTGTATGAGATCTTGTCAAGTGCCCGAGCTGGGGATAAATTCTCTTCTCATATGCAGCTTCTGTTGAAACGGCTGTCTGGCGATGTTTTTCCTTTTCTCTCCAGCTATTTTATTTCTGGGGGTTAAATCCTGAAACAAAAGACTTTCCGATGTTGTTGTCAAGTTTGGAATTGTTAATTATCAGCGTGAAATTTTTCACATCACGGAGCATATTTGTTGTCTGAGAAAATCATATTTCTCATTACGTAGAGTTTTTCTTCGTGAATAGCGGTATACCTTAGTATGTGCAAGTAAAACCTTCCTTCAACAGCTATCCGATTTCCTTTCATCGTCTAAAATTCTCACATTTTAACGTTTTGTCTAACATTGTAGATTTTGAGAAATCAACACACCGTCACAGCCACAGTTTGGATCTTCTGGCATTCTACTATTCTGATTTGTCAACCACCATTACCAAGGAGAGAGCTATTTCTGAAAAAATGACGGTTACCCAATTGCAAGTAGCTCTGCCAGCTATTGTAGTAGGTCTAGCAAGTCCTGTTCAGGTATTTGAGCATTCCATCTTATATGTTAGTACATCTTTTTCACACTTGTTTTGATTCGTCCAGACTGCAAATATTATTTCCACGACAGGAAAAATGCTTTGTGCAGTTTCGCTATTTTCATCAAGTTCTACCATGAAATGGAATTCGACATTTTCTATCAGATGCTCCTTGAAGCACAGTCTTTCAAAAAAAGTCATATATATGAAATGCTGCGATACTCGTGTTTAGTTATTTGAAAATGTGCTTAAAAGATCTGTTGTTTGACCTTCTCTCAGAAGGTACGAAGGAGCGCCGCAGAATGTCTAGAACAACTGTACGCGTTGTTAAAGCAATATCGCAGCATTTCACCTGAAGGTACTTATTTCACGAATTTTTCTGAAGATATGTGTTGTGTTCTTACTAGTAATTTCTGGGATTGTGTAGAGGAAGTATTGTAGAGGAAATGATTGCTTCCTACTTATGTAAAACATGTGCTACCTATTGTAATGTGACCATGGTCGAACATTTGTGCGCAGAAGCCAAGAAGAAATCCACGAGCTTACCAAATGAAGTTTTACATCATAGCACATTTGAGAAAGTGGTAACAATTCTTGTGGAGTCTAAAGCTGCGTGTACATCTAATGAACAATATGTAGCTACAGTATTAGAGAATTTGCTGAATGACTCCGAAAGCAAGACTGTGTCCACCACTGAGGTACCCAGGTAATGCATTGTACAGAACTCGCTTACGATTTTTGAAGTCTTCTTTTTTAAAGCAGGTGTTTTTAAATGAACAACACTTTTATTGTGCTCCGATTTCTCCTATTTAATGAATCCTCCCGTTTTTCTTTTCCGTGCCTCCGTCTTATCTGATGATAATCGTACGCAAACTTTTCGGAATTGATGTAATTCATCTGTTCCATACTTTGGCTTAATTTATGCAGGTTGATGCCTGCGGATTCCAAGGCCGTTGTGAATTTCTTCACTGCGCATGCTTTGAGACACTCTGCAGTTGTGCAGGTGCGTACAAACTGTCAGGGATTACAGTTCTTGCCCTCTATCTTCGAGATGATATTTGGAACTATTCAAGGTTGACTGGTTGGTTGTCTTTGGTGCAGAGAATCCTCTTTTCAGTTTTAAAAGGCACAGGACATGATTTAGAGCTGCTCGGTGCCGTAGCTGGACCCATGGAGAACCTTTTGGAACGACGTTCACGGCATCATCTGAACGCCACTCAGGCATCGGATGTCGAGAAATTGTCTCCGGCAGAAGTGGACGTATTGTGCATTCTTTTGCAGGTACTCTACTGCTCAATCACGTTTGCTCATTCAATAGAAGCACCTATATTATTATCATATTCAGTAAATGATATAATGAACTGACTTATTTAGTTTGATACATGGCGAAGCATGTCCGTAGCGTTCACCACTGAGCTAATGGTACTTTTAAGCATTAACTTGGAGGTTATGATACTGTAGTTGTCTCTGCAGGAAAGGAGAGTAGGCAAGCATATGTCTTAGATCAATTGCCAGTAACAGTTGAATGTTTTCGTCGTTTGTTAGGTTTTGTTTCTGATATTGACCATGTCGGTTATTTTCCTATTTTCGCGGTCATTTCATTTCAAAATTTTAATTTTAGTTTTGACTTTCTGCAGATGTTTACTCCCAAAGCTGCCAAAGCATTATCTGCTGCTGCGGACGTGCAAAAAAGCTCTCTGAGTTACTTGCTTGAGTCCCTGAAGGCAAGCATCCTGTTGTATCTATACATATTTATGTTTATTTTGTTCTGTCCTTTCGTGCATTCATCTAGATTGTGCTGTGTTACACAACCTGACGTCTTATTGGTTACGATTCTGAATTGATTCAGGTTGAGGGAGGCTCTACATCAGATCCAGTAGTTTTGAAGCCCTGTATTTCAGCTCTTGGATGTTTGACATCGGAGTTCACAAATCAGCTTACAGTCCTTTTGAAGGTAATATTCTCAGCTTTGAGAATCACATTGTGGATCCGATCAACATGTGTATTCTGTGACCTTAATTTATCAGCCTGGGTGAATTGGGGGCTGATCTGGTTAGTAAATCCTTCTTCTATTGTGCATGTCTTGCTGTTTTTTAACTGACTGTGACCGGTTAGGGTAGTTATTCTCTAGCAATCTCAGATTAGTCATTAGGCTCCTTATATGTATATTGTATTCCCGGTCATTACTATTCATCTTTTCTTTTATCAGTTTTGAAGTAAGCAATCTAACTTTTCACCCAGTGCTACAATACGTAAACTGAAACCTGTTATGAGTGGAATTCTCAGGATGAACTGTTTCAAGCGTTGATAAGACTGAGTTCTTCTACGTCTTCTGATATCCACGCGCCTGCACAAGCTGTGTTGCGAAATATTACTGTGAGTATCATCTAAACATTCTGACTAATTATGGTGTCTTCATATTCTAGTGTATAGTCGTATGACCAGCAAGCTTTCATGACATCTAGGAGGAGCTCTGTTGGGTCGCAGGTTCCTTCTGAAGTCATTGCTGCTTATTTGGGGCGCTTAAGTAACCATAATCAGGTTGTCGAACAAAGCCCTGCAAAGAAAAGGAGAGTGAAGCCGGTAAAGACTTCTGGCGTGATTGTATCTTGGTCTACTCCTCAGCAGCAAGTTTCATGCACCGCTGCCGTGTTGGAAGTATTGACATGGCTTCCCATCATAGAAAACAGGTGCGGGATGATGATTGGACATATACTAATGCCTTTCTTTCTCTCTTTCGGATTAATCTGAAGTCTCATTTTATGAAGAATGATTGTAGCTTGAATGCATATTTAGACTGGGCATATCGTTTTTCCTACATCGGAGAAACTGCGTACATGAAGTTTAATTTTCAATTGGGATTGCAGGCAAGAACTTGTGGTACCTTTGTTTGAGCTGCTCAAATTTTCTCAAAGTGAGAAATGGCCATTACCTGTGGCGGATCTCAACAGTGCAGAAGCTGGTGAAGATGGATCGATGCCACGTATCAGTCTTGATTATATCCAACAACTAATATTTATAAATCTTGAGAGATTAGCAACTTTTGTCCTAACCAATAGCAACCGATCTCATGCGGTTAGTCACTTTTCTCTTCCTCCTTTCGAATACTTTTGATAATCCTATCCAGCTATATGTTCATGATTCTGTTGGTTCTGCCCTCAAGACGCTCATTTCTCAACCTACTCTGGAGTAATTCACACTGAAAGATATTTATGCCGCTTCTTTCTACTAAGTGAAATTGTTTAATTGTGGTACAGTTCAGTAGGTTGCCGTTGTCTCTGAAACTAATTGTAAGTGCTATGTACATAACGGTTTTGCTGATATGGTGTGGATATGACCTCTTACCAGGAGCTTTTTGATATCGGCACTATCGTTCATTGTGTTGCGAACACTTCAGATAGTACCACCAGAAACCAAGCTTTGATGGTGCTCATAGCCATTGCAAGGGTTTTCCCCCAGAAAGTACTGAAGCACATTGTTGACATCTTCTCAGTAGTTGGGTCATCCACAATTACCCAGGTTTGCTTCGGTGCCTCCCATTGATTCGTACTCGAACATTTAAATCACGTCATATTCTGTATCACTGAAAAGTTTGAAGTCGTACCGCCAAAAATATTCTCTGAACAACCTTCTGATAACGGTCAGGCGTTAGGTCTTTATTTGAAGATACTGTTCAATTTTGTGTGTTCAGGATGACAAGTATTCTCACGACGTAACTCAGCAGCTACTCGTGGTCGTGGTTCCATTTTGGTTGGAAACTAGCAAGGATCCTACAGCGCTCTTGCAGGTGGACATACAGTCAAACTCTTCGATTTGTCTGCATGTGCTTAAGACGACGCTTGCCTAATGGATTGACTATTATCTAAGAAGTTTGCGGTCAAGTGAGATCATGAAATCGTATCATGGTTGTCTTCAAATAGTTTCATGTATTGATGTAGTATCATGCCCTGCTCTGTTATATGATGCGTCAATGCTTGTTATGAATTTATGGTTGATGTGTTTATGTCAATTACCTGGCAAGCAGATTATTGTTACAGCTCTTCCGCGGGTTCCGTCACACCGGAGAATGTCGCTTGTCACCACTCTGCTCAGGTATTTTCCCTAGCCGATATTCTGGATTTTTTTGCGCTGTGATCAGACGCGGCAGTATTAATTTTGTTCCGGCAGCATCTGTTCTTGCCTGGTTTTATGCTTCTGGACATGTGATTCTTGTTATTTCACCTTAATTTATCGTTGTCACTTTATTTAATGATTTATTGCATATTTATTTTGCATCAGGGTTATGAAGGAGAAAGACAGTCTTCATCTATTTCTTCGGTTACTTCTTGACGAAACAATGCATGTCACAAATGGTGAAGAAGTAGCAGTTGAGAACGGTGAAACTAACAGAGAACTTCAGACATGGATGGATCGCTGGGAAGTGAAGTTTGCTGAAGACCTTTGCCAGGAGTACGCTCCAAGTGTGTGGCTTCCAGCCTTAGTGAAGTTGCTCAAAGCCACTTCAGAAAGTATCTCACCTGCTGCAAGACAATTTATTACTTATCAGCTACAAGGTCTTCATGGGAACGACATATCTCGCATTCCTCAGGTATTTTTGTTGTCATTATTTTATCTGTTTTGTTTGCTCGTTTGTTTCAGTATTTAGAAGGTGCTTGGATGAAATATTTTTCCGTAGCTCGATCTAAGACGCATCTATCAGAAGGAATTTAAATTGGAGAATGATAAATAGGAACCAAACTAGGAAGTACATCTAACCAGGTTTTGGTTGTGGTCTTTCAGGAGGCATTTGTGGCCCTACTTGGGCAGGTTGTGATGCAGTTGCATTCAGGCAAGAAAGAAAATCAGCTTTCGCTGGTTTCTCTCTTGGACTGTCTAACTCTTATCATGGCGCCAATTACCTATCTGGAAGGATTAATTAGATTGCTTAAGAATTCTGACAAAAATATCTGCCGAAAGGTAACTTTTGTAACTCTTTACTGGAATGAAGACCATGTTTGTATTTGCAGCATTTGAAAGTGATATCTAACAAGCCAGTCATGGATGAGATCAGCTACGCTTTTTTCTTGGTTACGTCCACATCTGTTTAATCTGACAAAGCACTCGTAATGCTAGGTGCTCCTCCTCTACACTGCAAGGATGAAAATGCAGGATGAAAATGGCGAGCGTCCTCAGAGAAGCAACAAGTTCGAGCACAAGCAGAATGCTAAGAGTGTGCTGAAGAAAGAACCTGAATTTCAAGAACGGATGGTGTCACAGTTATCGGATATATTAGTAGCACCCACGGAAGATAGTTCAGCAAATGTCAAACTTGCAGCGTTGGAGGCTCTGGAAAGATGTGCGACAAGATTGGCGAATACTGACCGCGCAGGGACTCTAATTAATATCGTGCCTGCTGTGCTTTCCATTCTGAGTGTAAAGAAAAAAGCACTTTCTGTCGCTGGGGTTCGTTGTGTTGGTACTCTTGTGAGCATCTTGGGTCCACGAGCTTTACCATCTCTGCCTGACATCAGCACTCAGTTGTTTATTATGGGCAGGGATGCTTCCTTAAGCTGCAGTGATACTGAAGGAGTCAAAGAATCTAATGCTAACTCAGGAACCGAGATAATCGTCTCAATTCTTAAAACTTTAATAGCGATTGTTGAGCATTTGGGTGCCTTCATAAATCCATATCTGAATGACTTAATCTCCTACCTGGTACTCCAGCGATCTGTTATCAAGTCTCCTGATGTTAATGTGTCCAAGAATGCAGCAACTCTGCGCGAGCTGATCTCTGAAAAGATTCCTGTAAGCAACCTAACAATATGGAATTTGATGTTTCTGACTTGCGGTAGTCCTTTGAGTTCATTTGACTTCATACTGGGAGTATGCTATTGCCTAGGACGGGGAAGTTTAAATTGGTATTAGCCATGGCACACAAATTACGTTTTTAACATTTACTTCAATTGTATTGCAGGCACGTCTTTTGCTCGACCCCTTGATTGTTACATATGAACGATCTATTAGTGTAGGTCCAGAAGCTACAAGTGCCTTGTTTCTCATGGTAGCTGCAGTAGCTTCAAGGATGGATAGGACTTCAGTACCTTTGTATTATGTGAAGATCTTCAACGTTTGCCTCCAGGCTTTGGACTTCCGGACCAATAGACCCTCCAATTTTGCATCGATTACAGAAGTAGAGAAGTCGGTCATTGACGCTCTTTCCTCACTCGTTCTGAAGCTGAGTGAGAATTCCTTCAAGCCCCTATTTGTGAATCTCCTAGATTGGGCACTCGCTAGTTCTGTGGAATCTAGTGGGCTTTCCGGAAATCAGCCTGGTCGAAGAATCGCTTTTTTCGGAGTTGTCCAACAGCTTTTGGAAAAACTTAGGTAAGGGCTTTCGACTTGGCCAGAACGAGTGTTTCTATTGCATTAATCTGAAACTGGAAGTACATGATATAAAATGGTCGTTCGTGTGTAGTTGTTTCAACATGTGAAGCATTCACTTATTATGGCAACTATTGATTACATCTAATTTTCAAATGTGCAGGTCTCTATTTGTTCCATATTTCAGTTATCTACTGGACATATGCATTTCCACCCTCACAGATGGTCAGTTCGTTGAAGACTCAGATCCTGCGAAACCGAAGAAGAAAAAGAAGAGAGCATCCGACGGTGGTTCTAATTTAGGTCTAAGCTTTGCATCATGGCATTTGCGCCAGTTGGTTCTCTCCTCTTTGCACAAGTGCTTCCTCTACGACACAATCGGGTTCCTCGATTCTGCCAAGTTTCAGGTGTCGTACAATCCTTCCCATCTCCATCAAGCGTAACTAAATCTTCTTTTTTAGATGCCTAATAGTATGTTTGTCTTGTTTCGACTAAAACATGTTTATGGTTACTATATGGGCTGAAGTAATAACCATGAATGTATTGGTTCAGCAATTGTTAGGACCAATTGTGTCGCAAATCTTGGTGGATGCGCCACTTGATTTGGCTAGTGCCGAAGACGAGTACGAGAAGATCGCGACCGTAGAAGAAATGGACGATACTTTAGTCTCTTGTGTCAGTCGGATGGCTTTAACAGCTGGAAGCGACTTATTCTGGAAGCCTTTGAATCGTGAGGTATGCATAATCTTCTTATATATGCACTACTAATATTCAGTTGCCGTAAAACATGCACGAGTATGTTTTATTTTAGTCTTCTTGAAGTGCTTGCCTCGTTCTAGTGTAAAAACCTAGAAATTGCTCTTTTCCTCACCGCAGCTTCAGTTCGTATCTGAATCGGGTTTCCCATGGTCACCTGCGCAGGTGTTGATGTGCACAAGAAACAAGAAGCTCAGGGCTCGCTTACTTGCACTGAGAATTGTGAAGGAACTGGCAGAGAATTTGAAGGAGGAGTATCTCGTCCTGCTGCCAGAAACCCTTCCATTCTTAGCAGAGCTTTTGGAAGACAGTGAACTGGAGGTTGTAGCAAAGAGTCAGGAAATAATCAAGATCCTTGAGACCAACAGTGGTGAAAGTCTGTCACAGTATTTTTAGGGACCAGAAGCTATGTTAGTATACCAAGTTGACATTGTTTAGATCAAAGCCGTGATTTTGCTGGTTTGAGACCTTCAGATTGCTTCCTGGAATCTTTATCGAAGGCAGCACTTCCTCCGCTGATCTTTCTGCAATGAATTTAAACTCATTTATGCCTGCCTTTTTAAGGGCTCTGTTACCTCGCAAGAAACAAATCGGAGATTTTATTGAAATGTGTAGACGAGCATATAACTGGAAGCAAAATTTTCTTTCTTCTGGTTGAGTATCGTTACGAGCCCTACAGTCGTGACCATGATTTCTGGGTTAAAGAAGTTCAGAATCAAATGTTTTTTCTTGTCTTGTAGTTGGTTGGGTTGATGATTATGCACACAACATAGATGCAAATATTCCGCTAGTCCCACTCATGCTTTAATTTAAGGTTGTTTCATTGGACCAATTTATTTACGTCTGGTCTTTCTATTACCCAATGGTTCATGGGCCATGAAGTAGCATATCCGCCCATGTTTAATTTGATCGTTGCGAATGCACATGCTGCTGGGTATCCACTTGAAAGCTTTTATGATTTGCTTAGGACTTCAATAGAAGTCAAGTTTGTTTATAATGACAAGAGCCAGGAAGTGCGCAGTTGTTTTTGGGGTGCCTTCACTGAAACAGTGCAGCAGTACCACATGTCGGGTTTGCAGAATTGTCAGCATGCTTAGATTCACATCTCCGGGATGACGTGTCTGCTAGCTTGGATGTCTGAGTGCAGGCAGTGCAAGTCGACTTTGTCAAATTGTTTCTGTCGCCACTTCCTCTCCGAAAGTGCTAGGACTGAATTTTCAGCACCTTGGGTGGTAACTGTCTTCGGAGATAATCCGATCCTGCACACATCAAGTGAATTGCATTATGGCATTTAGGCCGTTATTGATCCTAAGGTGAGAAGTGTAACTGGAGTGGGGATCAAGAAGACAATAAGATTTTAACAGTGCTGCAGTTCGTTCTCTTCGGGTACTGTACTCCGATTAGTTTTGCTAAGTTCAGTCGATAATAAGCACGGAGTACATCCAACTTTTTCACGTGTGACATTTTTAGATATTTTTAGAGTATGTTTATATAATATTGTTTTTTTAATTATTATTAAAAATTGTTTCCCATAACTTCAACGGTTGATAGCTTATATATTTATGTCACAATTTCGGTTGTAAAGAATATTGCACATAAGGGATTATGAAAGTACTTTGCAATTTTATAAATGCCCAATGGCTATTGTTGTATTCCAAAATTTGACAACTTGAATAGCTTTGAAAACAAAAAAAATCATTGAAATGCTGGACAACATTTCTATTTATATTATCCTATTTAGTTAGTGTAGTAACAATGAGAAAATTTTGATAAAAGTTTTGATAGGTCTTAGTTGTGTATTGGTTTGTTGTTATAAATATGAAGTATTTGAAATAAAATTTGTCTAAGTTTTTTGAATTGCACAAAGTACACAACTTTGCTTACAATAAAAGCTGCTACTCAAGGTTGAAAAAATAACTCCAAAAAAAACATAATTATTCTATTAAAAAACCAATCATAATTAATTACTCCAAAAATCATCAAAAAATCCATATTCCTTTAATATTTTTTCTATACCCTTAAGATCCTTTGTCCATTCATCTATTTTATTGTTTGGCCTTTTTACATACTAAGAGCCAACCCTTTGACTAATAATAACTTATCTAAAATAATATCTTCTATAATATAACTTATTCTATGCTATTGTTCAAAGGCTTTCAATTCTAATGCCTTTGTCAACATGTGATGGCTCTCTTTTTCTTATGCCTTTGTCAACAAATCAATAAGTATGTCTTCTAAAAATGATTTGGATTCTTTACAAATGCAAAACATCCTTGATTGTCACATTCCATTGAAGTTGTTTCTATTGATACTACTCTAATGTTTTCTAAAAGTTGACTTAGCCATATTACCTCCATTACACCATAGCTTACTGATATATATTCCACTTCTATTGTTTACCTTGTAATTGTTGGTTTTTTCTTGCAATTCCATGAAATAGCTTCCACTCTAACAAAAAAAAATATATTCCATTATTGATCTTCTATCATTTGTATCTGCAGTCCAATCTGCATCATAATAACTATGCAAAGTAATATTATCACATTCAAGGTACAATTTAAAATGTAAAGTATTTTTTAAATACTTCATGATCATTTTGATGGTTGTCCAATGGATTGATTCAACCTTTGACATGTCTTGGCTCACAACACTTATAGTATATGCAAGATCTACTCTTGTGTCAACTATTGCATATATAAGTGAATCCACTATTGCTTTATATGGAACATCTTGCATTTAATCTTCAACTTCAACAATCTCTTCATCCATGAACTTCATCAACTTCAAATTGGCCTTCATAAGTGTATCTATAGGCTTACACTCTTATAGGTTGAATCGTTTCAATATCTTTTTAATGTACTTATTTTGACTCATTGTAATGGTGTTCTTAGTACAATCTCTCACAAATTCCACTCCTAAACAATACTGAAGCTCTTCCAAATCATTCATCTCATATTCTTTTTATAACTTTGCTTTCAACCAATTTATCATCTTTAAGGTATTGATTAAGATGATTAAATCATCAACATAAATGATGACAATTAATATAAACTCACTTGATTGCATTATATACATGGAATGATTAGCCTTATTTCTTTTAAATCCTTCATCTACAAAAGACGTGTCAATATGTTGATACAATTTCTTTGGTGATTGCTTGAGCCTATATAAAGATTTTTTTAATTTATAAATAAAGTATTATTATTTTTTTCAACAAATCCTTGAGTTTTATCTATATAGATATCTTTTTCTAACCTTCTATTTAAGAAAGCTATCTTCATATTTATTTGATGCATCTAAAAATCTATTATTGCCTCAATTGCCACAATGATTCTAATGGTGTTGAATTTAGCTATGGAAACAAGTATTTCATTGAAATGAATATCAATAACTTGTGAGTAGTCTTTGGCAACCAATCTAGTATTGTTTTTCATAATATTATCCATTGCATCCTTCTTGATTTTAAATTCCAACTTACAACCAATTGAAGATTGATTTGATAGAAGTTGAGTCATCTCTCATGTTCTATTGTCTATAAATGATTTTTACTATTCTTCTATGGCATTTTCCTATTTCATAGCATTTGTGGACTTCATTACATCACATAAACTCAATAGATCAGTAAAAAATACAACATTGGCATGTTCTTCACTTACTTGAAGAAAGATTTGGTTCTTCCACCATTCATTAAGTTGTTTTCTATCTCTCAAAAGATATCTTCTTTCACTTGATGAAGATTCACCTTCTTACACCTCAAGGTTTTTTACAATCTTTTTCTTTCTTAAAGCTTGTCTCTTCATAGTTAGTCATTGATACTCTTCATCATTATCTTGAATATCTTGATTGTCTTCATTTTTAGTTCTAGCAATTATAGATACACTTTGATTTACTTTCTTTGGCTCTTCATCTTCATTTGTATTTCTACCATCTTCATTATTATTATTATTTTTTTTCTTTCTTTGTTGGAATTAAAGATGTATCCGCAAACATACCATTATTTTTACTTGGATATATTTCTAAGTGCTCACAAGCACTTTTATGCTCCAAAAATTCTACATCATAATTCTTGATGATCTTCTTAGTTTCTAAATACATAAGCCTATATACCTTAATACCTTCACAATATTTAATAAATAAATATTTTGTATCTTTTGCATCTAATTTAGATTTCATAAAATTGAGTATCTTTGCATAAGCAATGCATTAAAAATTATCCTGTGTGAAACATAAGGTTTTTTGCCACTCTAAGCTTCTTATGGAATCATTGACATGAGTGCACTTATAAAACACCCATTTCTTGTATACACTACTATAACCATGGCTTCTATTTAATATTTGAGCTTAAAATTTTGTACATGAAGGATATTCTTTGTTATCTTAACAATGGTATAATTTACTCTTTCAACAATTCTATTTTGTTGTGGAGTATAAGGAATCAAGGTTTATCTTGCAATACCTTGAATCTTCAAAAATTCATCAAAATAATTTGATATATACTCATTTCTATTGTCTATGTATAATAACATGATATTGCACTCATATTGCTTCTTGATAAGTGCCTTAAATTTCTTAAATCTTGAAAAACATTCACTCTTGGCTTTAAAAATGTAAATCCACATCTTTCTTAAAAAATCACCAATAAATGTGACAAAATACCTTTTTCTTATAATTAATGGTATCTTCATTGGTCTACAAACATCAAAATATATAATTTCTAATAATTTACTAGTATATGTTGCAACTCTTCTTAGAAATGAAGCCCTTTGTTTTTTGCCTTGGATATAGCATTCATAAGCAAATATCATAACATTGCCGCTTAATTGACTAAGGTTCAAGCCACTTATCATGGATTAGAGCTCCTTCATGCTTTTGGCATTCAAATAGCCAAGTCGTTGATGCCAAGTTCTAAACTTATTTTGATTTTGTGAAAACTCAGGAAATACCATGACTTCTTCCATTCATCTTCTAACAATTGATGAAGTAGAGGTTGCTATCTCTTAGGCCTTTAGCAACAAATTATTCATCTAATATCTTTATAAAACATCCATTTAAGTCAAATTAAATCTTATAACTATGTGATATCAATTTGTTCATCAAAAAGAGGTTCTGCTTCATCTTTGATATGTGTGACACTTGTTTTATTTGATCCTTTTTATTTGGTCTTTTACTATATTTTTTACAACAATGGAACCTATTTCAATGGTTTACAACATGCCATTGTCTTTCAATCAAACATTTATTGCTCAAATGGCTTCATAAGTATCAAATGAATACTTGTATGGTGTCATATGCTTAGTAGCACTTGAACCTATAATCTACTTGGACATGGTAACTATAGAGGCTCCTTTACTTATTATGAATGTATAATCATCTCTACCAAAAATAGCACCAGTATTATTTGTATTCTCTCTATTTTTTTCTTAGCCTTGTAGCAATTCTTTGCAAAGTGATGTGATTTTTTACATATATAATAATTATTCATATTACTATTTGAATTATTATATTGATTAAAATAGATATCTTTGCCTTGTCTTGAGAATAGAGCCAAATCATCACTTTAAAGTTTTTTTTTTCTTCTTGATTATTTCATAAGCTAGTTTTAATGTGATATTATTTATAGTAAGTTCTTTCATATTGATAGATTCCAA